TTTAACCTGCCACCAAGCAGTATGACCCTATAACTAACTCCTTTTTTTCTTTAAAGGTTTTATTATTTTTTTAAAGGTTTTATTTTTAAGTAGTCTCTATACCCAACATGGGGCTCAAACTCACAACCCCAATATCAAGAGTGGCATGCTCTTCCAACTGAGCCAGCCAGGTACTCCTATAACATTCCAGCTTAAACATCCTAACCAAACACCAGTACCTTCAGCACCATTAAAAAGCAAGAGCAGAGAGGGCATCCCCTTGCCTACAAAGCTTTTGACATCTATTCTCCCTTGAGTCCGACAACAAGCCTACGAAACATGCAAAGTAGGTACCATTATTCTCACTTTATATGAGACCCAGAAAGGCCAACTTGACTGAAGTCACCTGGCAAGTTCAGTACAGTACTACAGCCAGCACCTAGCCACCTATCTCCTAAGAGCAATAGCTGTCTCGGAATACCTGTCACCTCTATGTCCCTCGCTTTGCCCTTCCTACATGACAGATTTCCAATATTGAATTCTGCTTTTGGGACAATCTAGGATATATAAATGTGTTCCCTAAATTCTCTCTTTTAAAGCCTCCAAAGAAATTTCAGCAAAATTCATGCCATTCATTCATGCCTTAAGTCTATGCAATCTGATGGGGCAGGAATGGGATGGCAAATAAAGCAGAGAATACAAGAGAATTAGGAACCTTTGCCTCAGAGTTCCAAAAAAATTTGTTTTAACTTGCTAACTTCATCACAGAGGCAAAGAACTACTTCTCGGCCTCATCAATGACATCATTCTGAATGATGAAAATATATTTATTATGTCAAGTTCCATTATGACAGCATAATTATCAGATCCTACAGAATGTGGACTGTGTAATAATGGAAGAGTAACTCCAAGAGTAACCAAGAAAGCTATAAAGATTCTTCATACATATTTACTTTTACCCATTTCTAAAAGGTTGTGTGCATGGATGTGTAGAGACAAAAGAAGGGAAAACCAATAGAAAGGTAAGAGAAGGAAAATAGTCCCACTTGCCAGAAACTGACTGAAAGGTCTGGAGGACTATGAAATGAAGGAGGAAAAACCCCGGATAAGACCTTACAGGAGAAGTCTAAGTGGCAAGGGGAAGGTCTCACAATACACAAGTAGAATGTTATTTCACGTCTGCTTTATCTTTGCCTTCCTGCTGTTTCCCTTCAGGATCTGTTCTTTTAGAGATCCTTTTTTAGATCACAGATCTTTGAGATACTCTAATAAACCCTATAAATCCTATTCCCCCAAAACTAAACATACACATACAAAACCATGTCTGATTCCAAGGCACCTTAGGCCTCTTGGGGCTCCCCTCAGAGGTTAGGCTGCTCTAAGTTAGAACCACTACTTTACAGTCATCATCTGCTCATACTCCAGCAACTAACCAGAGACTCTCTCATTAAGCACAATACAGTCTCCACAATCTGGGAGGGAATAGATAGGTATGTTGTCAGATATGTTGTCTTGTTTTGTGTTTGTTTCAGTTACTGAAAAAAGATGAAATACACAGGGGGAAGAGATTTCCCTAGATGAGGCCAAGTCAAGACTGCATGACCTCTGGGATGGATAATGTAGAGATCTCAGTCTTGAATCATGGTCAAACGAGGTGACCTAAAGGGTAGCCCGAGAGACTGATTTTAGAATGTTCTACACAATGGCAGAGACTCACCTTGGGGGGAGAGTCCATCCGCAAGAAGAGACTGCTCAAAGTCCAAAGACACCAACCCCAAGGAGAGGACCAAACTTGTAATACAACTAGTTTCAGCCATGCCACGCGGCACTTGTGACTGGGCCTGCAGCCCAAGGAGCCCAGACAGCTCTAAGATACAGAGCAGATGGCTATAGAGAGGGAAAAACAATATTGGGAATTATAGGTATGAGCCTGGAGACAGTGAGGCCATACATCAGTCGTGCCTGGCTCCAGATCTACTGTATTCACATCTTCAAAATGTTCAGGCTATTGCCCTTCCTATGTTTTCAGAATCTCAATTCCTGACACCTGGAGGGCATGCATAGGTGGGAATTTCTAACTGCTCTCCTTTACCATCCAGGATTTGGCAAGAAAAATTTCACTACCTCATCCTGAAGCCTCATGAATGAACACTTGGACACACTGGGTTGGGGAAGACCTGGTGGTGGAAAGGAATGGTGATGGTGAGTCTTTCAGTATTTCTTCAGTGGAACAGGGACACCAACAGACAGCAGGGGAAATGTGACTGACCATTTGGTACTCAAGATCTGAGGCAAGCAAGCAGGAGGCAGCCTGAGAAGGAGTCCAGGGAATCACAACAGCACAGGAGATAAAGAACAGCCAGAGAAGGAACCACTGATGGATAAAAGTGATGGACCAGACACAAGTGGAACATAGGGTTCCCCAAATCCCAGCATTTGCCTTCTGCCATCACAGATTTTTTGTCATTTGCAGGTATCACTTGTCAAATAATTTGAATAGTTCTTATAAATGGACTCTTTCTTAAAAACTTACCCTCATCCTAAGGAATAAAGTGCTAGTTCTGCTTTTTCCTAATATACATTAGAATAAGATGTAAGTACTAATATAAGTTTTCCACATCCCACCTAAAATCACCTGGCACCACACAGAGGCCCAGGTTGTCAAGGGTCCTGAGCCTGAAATTTGGTCCCATCTCCAGGCTCATCTCTTAGCATGACCTCTGTGGGAGCCCACAGCTGCCCCCCCCCCATCTCCTAGGTAAAGGAAAACTAGATGAGTCCTACAGCTGCCCTGCATAGCTTTGAGTGTTTACATTGGCAGATTTCCATGTGGTTCTGGCAAAGGTACCCACCAAGGTGACATGTTGGCACAGTCTTAGAAATTTCTCAGTTACTACTCTTTTGGGGGTGGCTACAGATGGAGACGGGTAAGGCATCTGCAAGCAAAAGAAGGAGATGTAGGAAGACAAGTCTAGTATAGAAGGAAAAACATCAGATTTAAACCAAAACATATGGCATCTCTATGAACTAGCCGAGTTTAAGTTTACATTTATAAAATGAGTATCAGTTTGCCCTTTTTTCCTTAAATTTATACCAAAGCTCCTAAACTTTCATCCAACCTGAACTTTCAAAAATCATATAGTGATAATCCTAAACTACTCTTGAAAGTCCCATTCAGGCTTGCATACAAAAGCTAGATGACATCTGGACCCTTCCCACTAGTTACCAGTTTAGTTTTGGCAACTTCACTAGTAGAGCCATATTTGTTAAGTGAAGAAATGTATTGCATTACCTGCCTTTTTTAGTGATAAACTTTTTTTAGTTGATGCAAAAGGCAAAGACGGACACAAGTACCCAAGTGACAGTTCATAAAGTTTGATCTGGTACTCACTGGACTTAAAGCTGATTAAATGTATGCTCAAAAAAAGGGAAAAGAACAAAAGTGAAGAATGCTGGAAATGTATGAACCAAAATTGTGTCTAAAAGGCAAACTATAGTAAGTTTATACTATTCATTCGTTTTTAGAAAAGAGTCTCTCCCTAAAATGCATACATCTAGAGTCATATTTACCATGCTCAATCTCTGTATATTTTCAAGAATACATTATATTCAAAATGCTGTCTCATCTCACAAAATATATGAGGTAGCCTATGGAAAAATACAAACAGATAAAGCTGGACAAGAGCAAATATAAATCTGAAAGCCAAAAACTATGCATTTTATTGTGTGTAAATGACATCTAAAACACACCTCAGTTAAAAAAGCAAAAATAGGAAAAAGAGCCAAACAAAAAAGCCAGGGACAAAAGAGAACAAAAAATGCAGCCAGCAGGTCCTGCAGTTATAAAGTTAAACTAAGCTTCCCGCCAGCCAAAGCTACAAGGGAAACATGACTGCCTCCTGATTCTTGTTGCAGAGGCTTTAGATCTGGGTACCTTCAGTGAGGGACAACACTGTAGTATGTACATTAACATGTTTCCTAAGACCATCCCTGCCTGTATGTATCAATGTTAGCACAACTGAACATTTCTACAGCAGGAGTCAGGTGGGCAGGCAATGTAAGTCCAATGAGCAGCAAGGCGGCTTAAATGAGATAAGGACAAAGAGCTCAGGAAGCCATGAACCCTTAAGCAAGGGGTGCAGAACTGACTGCCCAGTGTGAAGAAGCCAGCTAAACTCACAAGTGGCTCTGGCATCTACCCTAGCCCAATTAATTCACAAAGAGCTTCATTACAGGGGTTACTCTGCAAAATAACCACCAAGGGCCCACCTGGGCACATCCATTGAGCTTCATGTAGCAGAGGGGGCCTCCACATATATTTTCTCCTTCATTTTTTAGTCACAGAAGTCCCTGAGTTTTAACTGGACACATGGCTACCCAAGTAAGAGGCTATATGTCCGAATGTCCCTTTCAGCGAAGTATAGCCATGCTGATAGGAGAGATTCCAGGTCATACCCTTTAAAAAGAAACTGCTTTACTCTCTAGACATGGGGCTGATTGATGAGTCTGCTTTGACCTTGTGGGCAAGATCAACACCCTAAGGTTGGCTGAACAAGATAAAAAGAAACTGAGGTCCTGGTGACCGTGTACAGTTAAACCTGCCCCAGACCACCTGATTACGTCTGTACTATTAGAAGAGAGAATAATAAACTTCTACTAGGAGCCATTATGATTTAGGTCCTCTTTGTAATAACAGCTTAGCATGTGGCTTAACTTCATTCACAACAGAATGGAAGGATGCCAGAGGGAGACTCCAAAGGAGTCCAGCAACACCCTAGAAAGGTTAATTCACAATTCATTTCAGCAAACAGGTCAGGAAATGATAGCCATCACACCAAGTTATGCCTCTTACTCCTTCTCCAAGAAAGGCCCCAGCTGCATCCCTGGAGTAGAGGAAAAGGCCTTTATTATAGCCCAGCCCAGCCCAACCCGTCCACTGCGGACCTAGGCCAAATCCTTGATATTTGGGAGACAAAGACTGCTTTCCCCACCAACACTAGGCAGGGACAGCCCTGTCCTACCTTTTCCCCTAAAGCAGGAAAGCTCCACACTTCTCCACTCTTCATAATTACCATTCTTGAGAACAGGCCAAGTCCAGTAAGGCAGACGTAGGGTGAAGCAGCTGCTGGGGGGGGGCTGTGTGTGAGGGTCAGGGGAAGGGAGTCCAGAGCCCCAGAACAAAAGTCACAGCTGGGAAGAGGGAGAGAAGCCTCCATGTCTGCCCTGGGTTTCTGGAGTCCAGGGACCTCAGGGTGCAGCACCTGCTCCTTCTATGCAGTCCCCCTGGTGACAGAGCTTGTCTGGGCAGCTGCCAGTCACTAACGAATCCCAGCCACTGGCACCTGCTGCTGCTTGCGGATCTTATTGAAGAGTTCCATGTATTGGACCATGGTATCTGCTGGGCCGTAGACAGCATCATGTCTGTTCCCAAACACTGCTGGGGCTCCTGGCGTGTGGCTGCCTAGAAAACTCTGCAAGAACTCGAGCAGTAGGCTCCAGCAGTCGCTAGCTACCACACAGGGGCCATACTCCACCTAGGGCCAAAAGAACATAGAACAAGGGTGAGTGAGGCAAGGACAAGGTCTTCTGCTTCTCTTATACCTCTTACCCCCTGCTCCTAAATTCTCCAGCCCCAAACCAAAGACAAACACCTTTTAACACAGTGTTGCTCTACAGGAAATATTCAACCCAAACACCAGGGATTCCACATACCCAGCATCATTCCCTTTGGCATCTCTGGCATTCTCATCTCATCTTAGGAGTTATCAACCCACAGCCCAACCCACAAGACCCAAAGTCAGATACAGGCCCCTTTTGATGATCTCAGAACTGTATAGTCCCTACTATGCTGCATTAAGATCGAAGGAGAGCTAGAAAAAGTCTGAGAGAGAAAATGAAGAATGAGAGAAAAGTAAGGATGTGTGTTTGTGTTTGTGTGTGTGTGACCAGAGAGAAAAGTAGACACTAAGTCTCTTTAAGACCAAACATTACCCCCAAGATAGACCCCACCTAACTCTAAGAAGTAATTTCCCAACCCATGTGGCAGGGGCCAAAGGAGATACACCTTAGACTTTCTCATTCCTTTTTCCTAGTTTTTCACTGGAGGGATGGCAAGAAAAATAACTAGTAACCATAAGGAGAAACAAGTAAAAAAGAGCTGGGATGTATCTGTACTAAAAAAGCTGGAAATGTGAAGGATAAGCAGACAGTGGGTTCCCAGTGGGCCTCAGCTAATGGAAGGTACATCACAAGCCAAAAGAAATCAGGAAACTTTGGTCCCAGAGGTCACTGGAGTTTCAGAGCAGTAATCACTACTAAGGCCCTTTTCTCCACCTGGAATGCTTTGTGGGCCTCATCTATTCCCACATCTCTACATTATAAATCCCTCTTTACATGCTACTCCTGCAGAAAGCATCCCAATCCCCAAAGTCAGCAGTGCTCTCATTGGCCCGAATTCCCAAAGCAATTTGTGCCTGGGAATGTCTTAAAAATTAACTTAAAAAACAGTCAGTGTGTTTCAGCTTCACTCATTTTCTCAATCACACATTTTCAAAAAGCAGGCCCTATAGCTTACTAATTTTTTTTTTCCTCACACAGAGCTGGGCACATAGCAGACTGAGGAATTTCACTGGTCCCAAAGCCAGCTACTGCCACACTCCCTCTTTGCGGTCTCCAACATATACCTCAGAGATGGAATCACCACACAAACTTCTTTCCACCATGAAAGAAAGTTGACAGCATATCAAAAGGAAAGGCTCATCTCTGCTACACAATCTTTGAGACCTATCTTAAAGTATACCATGGAGAGGGGTGTAGTTACATGATTTAGGGCCCACCACCCAAAAGTTACCTGTACACTGTCTCCCCCTGGTTTGCTCCAGTCCTTGTGACAGGTGACCAGTTCCTCCACATCACAATCCACCGGCCTCCCTTGGCTATCCCTTCCCTCCTCCGGCAAGCCAGCCTTCCTAAGCTTTCTGCCACTGCAACCCCAGCTTCCCGCTCTCACCCTGGGCCAGAGCCTGAAGGACTAAAGAAAGAATAAAAGATGCAGAGACAGAGGAGCACAGATGCTCTGGGGACAGGGATCAGGAAGGCATCAACAGCGGTTTGCACTCAGAGGGATGTGGAAATCCACCGATCCCTCTGCTGAGCAGCCCTTCAGCATATACTGCTCCTTTTCCCCCAAGGTCTTACCTCTACAGAGATGCCTCGGGCACTGGGCCCCATGGTGACTGTGCCCACCTTCACTAGGAAATCACAGTACTGGTAACGGGTACCCCGGGTCTCAATCTTGCTGGCCTTGGCACTCTGGAAAAAGCCCTTGAGCTTCACCATGAGCACATCGAAGTTGGTGTCGGCAATAAGGCAAGGGCCATTCTCAAAAAGGGCGAAGCAGCTCAAAGGGTACTCTGAGTTGTGCATCACGTACATCAGTTTCCCGGCCTGACCTACAGGGACAGAGAGCCTATCAGCATCAGGATCTTTGTTGGCAAGCCTCGGAATAGTCAAATGCATGGAACAGGGTCAGATGGCAATCTGCCACTACCTCAGCCATCTTGGAGGGCAATGGAGGGTAATCCCCTCACCAACAGTCTGTTCCACAAAGAGAAAGGGAGAAGAGCAGTGGGCAAGGCAGTATGTGGTGAAAGCTCATTCCCCAGGAAATATGAGGAGCATAAGGGAACTTCCATAGCACTGGTAAGTTTAGTTCTTGAACGATGGGCTCCACAGATGGGTGCTTAATGATGACAATCAATCACCCACAGAGACTTTCCATAGTCTTCTGTATAATCCTATGTTATAAGGAAAATAAGAAGTAATATTAAAAGCATTTGGGTATACAAAAATGAAGCAAATGGTCTCTTCTCTGTCCTTCCCTTTCTCCTTTGGCCTCCTTCCTGATATACAAGAAGGGGCCCCACAGAAGCAGCAAAGGGAAGTATCTGAGCTTGAGGCTGGAAAAGAAGGCCAGAGTGAAGCTATGGTAAGACTTATTTTCCATGCCTCAAGAAGTCTGGACTTTACCCTCAAGGCAATGATGAACCCCTGGAGTGCTATAAGGCATCAGATGACTTGTGAAGCAATCAGCACTTTCACAGAAAGAACTCAGGATCTGGAATCAGAAGGTCTCATTTCAAGCCCCATCCAATCTTTCCAGTCTCTGAGAAATGAGTTTTCTCATTGATTACTACTAGAGATTTACTGCAAGAAGGAAAGCTACATATATTTGGTTAACAGAGAAATAGAAAGCAAGATCCCCTGTTCATACACTGTAAGAATTAATGGATACACTACCACAATCCCAAGTATTCATGAAGACTTAGCTATAAAGTATTTACTAAGTACTTAATCATCCCAAACATCGTGCTAGGGTTTAAGAGGCATGCTTTGTAGAAGACTTAGTACCTGACCTCAGGAAACTGACACTCTCATTAGAGACAATAAAAAACTATTAAGGAGATAGTAAGACCAAAACGCTTATGTGGGATAGACCAGAAATCTTTTTGGAAGGAAGAAAAGACCAGAGCAGGAAAGGATCAGAGTGTGCAAGAGTCAATAGGAAAAACTTTCATGGAGAAAATAGCACCTGAACTATGATACAAAGAGAAGGTAGGGTTCGGCCACATAGAAAAGGAAAGATATTCTAGGCAAGAATGAGAGCTTAACAGTGGAAACAAGATGGGGCAGAGAGACCTTTACATAGGCCTCCACTCTGCTGCTACTTCCAGAACTCAACAGGCTCTGCACCAACCTTTCTCCACATCCCTCCTGACCACTTGTGCCAATGGGTACCTTTTACCTCCTGCTAAACCCAGAGCAAAACATTTCAACCCTCAAAAACAAACAGCCCAAAGCTGATCTATCATTCATTCTGTTCTTGTGCAAACTCACTGTAATTACCTAATTCATACTATAGGAGTCTGTAGGTGCTCTTACTGTCTTGAAAACATTTTGAGTCAACTAAGGTTTTTTTAATGAAGAAGGCACTGTCAACTGTAGACAACAGTATTTTTTTTTTAAATTTTTATTTATTTATGATAGTCACACAGAGAGAGAGAGAGGCAGAGACATAGGCAGAGGGAGAAGCAGGCTCCATACATCGGGAGCCCGACATGGGATTCGATCCCGGGTTTCCAGGATCATGCCCTGGGCCAAAGGCAGGCGCCAAACCGCTGTGCCACCCAGGGATCCCGACAACAGTATTTTTAAAATCACAATGAAGTATCTTTGTATCAGCACAAACTTTTTTTTTTTAAGATTTATTCATGAGAAACACACACACACACACACACACACAGAGGCAGAGACACAGGCAGACAGAGAAGCAGGCTCCACGCAGGGAGTCCGACGTGGGACTTGATCCCAGGTCCCCAGGATCATGCCCTGGGCTGAAGGCGGTGCTAAACCGCTGAGCCACCTGGGCTGCCCGTATCAGCACAAACTTGTGAAGCAAGCAAAACCAGTGTTACTGTGCCCCTTTGACAGAGGAAGAAAATGAAGCCAATAAGTTCTAGACCAGCGACAGCACCACTACCACCACCACCTGGGAACTTGTTGAAATGCAAATTATCTGCCCCAGCCCATACTTACTGAGTGGAAAACTGTGAGAGGGGCCAAGCAATCTGTTAATGAGCACTCTGGTGATAATGCTGGTCCCTATGAAACGTGATCTAAAGCAAGGAGCCAGCAAGGAACAGAACTGGAACTCCAATATAGGCCTTCTGCCCTCAAGTTTATTGCTCCTTCCATTCCACCCCACTATCTGCCACAAATATGTCCTCTCCCCGACTAGACTGTAGCTCCTTAAAAATTAAAGGTCAGAATAGGAAAACAGGGCTCTACAATAGATAGTTTCATAAACATGGTATACCATCTTATATCTATGCACAAATGTTTTGTTTTCCAGATGATTTTGGAACTGTTATCTGTTTTTGATCCCACATTCTTATTGAAGAAGGCAAAACTACCAGTAACAGTGTCATTTTAGGGACCCCTGGATGGCTCGGCAGTTTGGTGCCTGCCTTCGGCCCAAGGCGTGATCCTGGGGTCCCGGGATTGAGTCCCGCAT